AGTTGTTTCGATAGAAACTTTACTCAATTAAGCTGGCAGACGGGAGAAAATTGCAATTTAACAAACATATGTGCAACTTATGTAACTTATTGCGGTTTCTGCCATATTGAAAATATGCATATTCTTATAACTACATTTCACGTAACCAAATGGCAGACGGGTTAAAAAAGTTCATCATATGAACAATTTTTGTCGCAATTTTGTTCATTGTTTATTAGGACTTGTACCAGCCTGCAATTTCTGCCAGTCAAAACTTAGGCTTTTGGTAGCAACCTATTTAATATAAATTAATGGCAGACGGGAAATAATTGATCTCAACTTTGAAAAATTTTGACATTTTGGAAAATTAAAAATAAATATTTGTACCACTTCAATTTTTCTGCCGGTGCAAGGGTACATTATTTATCTAAAATCCATTGCAACAAAACATGTTTTAGGCGGGAGAAAATTGTTTCAACATCTCAGCATTTTGATACAACTTCAAAAATTGTTAAATATTATTTTTTTTTTTTTTTTTTTTTTTTTTTACGGATATGCGCACTCGCAAGGAAATGTCCTATCACGCTCGAGAAGCGGCAAGTGCGCGGAAATGTCGGTGTATGTTGGTCTTGAAACGGTTCAGGTTGTAACCTGTAGGGAAAACCGTCGCAGGGAGTTTATTCCACAGCGATGCTGTTCTCCAGAGATATGAATTCTGATATAATGAGGTTCTTGGTGCCTCTAGTTTGACAGTAAATTCATGGTTACCGTCTGTTTGACGGGTTCGCCTGGTAGGTGCTACTCTCGGTGGAATCATACGTGCCAACTCTTCAGAGCATTTTCCGTGATAGTACCTGTAGAAGAGAGATAAATCGCCCACAGATCTGCGATGTTCGAGACCATCCAAGTTACGAGTAAGTGCGGGGTCATTGATCAGCTTGATAGCTCGTTTTTGCACGGTATTCAAAAGCATTAAGGTATGTTTGGGTGCTGCACTCCATATATGTGAGCAGTACTCCATAGTTGGTCGAATCTGGGCTTTGTAGAGTGTCAGCAATTGGCTTGGTGTGTACAGATGTCTTGTACGAAATAGCACCCCCAGCTTTTGGGAGGCCCTTTTAGCGATATCTGCCACGTGACTGTGCCAAGACATGTTGGTCTCTGCAGTAACCCCCAAGATGTTCAACGGACTCTGTAATGTGACAGCACTTCCAGATAGCATGATGTTTGGCTCGCCGGTGCTGGTCTTTTTTGAAAACAGAGCTGCTTGGGTTTTCTGCGCGTTGAACTGTACAAGGTTTTTGTTACCCCAGTCCTCTATTATCTCCAGGTCGTTATTTATCTGCGATATTTGAGTTAGTCTAAGATGGTGGAATTCACGTGCGGAAAGACCTGTGGGTGGTATGAGTGAGGAGACTACATTGCCATCGTCTGCAAAGCAATAAAGTGGATTTACTGTTTTATCTATGAGGTCATTTATGTAAATCAGGAAAAGAGTTGGCGAAAGGATTGCTCCCTGTGGCACACCAGCATTTATTTGGTAAGAGTTGGAGTTCTGGCCATCCAGTGCAACATAAATGGATCTGTCCTTTAGGTAACTTTCAAACCAAGTGCGAAGTTTCGGCGATAATCCCATTGCTTTGAGCTTGTTGAGCAGATTTTCATGCCAAACTTTGTCGAATGCTTTAGATATATCTAAGGCAATTGTTCTTGTTTCACCCCGCAACTCAATCGCTTTTTGCCATAAGTGAGTGACGTATGTAAGTAAATCGCCAGTTGACCTATATTTTCGAAATCCGTATTGCTTATCGTTGATAATTTTGTACTTTTCCAAGTACTTGGTTAGGTGATTGTTCACAACTCTTTCCATTACTTTTGATATCACCGGAAGTAGAGCAATTGGTCTATAGTTTAACGGATCTGTCTTTTTTCCTTTCTTTGGAATGGGTTGTACTGCGGCAGACTTCCATGATGATGGATATACTCCTTGCCTGTAAGACAAATTGAATAATTTTGCGAAAGTTGGGGTGAGTTCGTTGGCGCAATTTTTGAGTACTATTGCGGAAATGCCATCCGGAGCCATTGCTTTGTTTGTATCCAGCTTTTTTAGGGATTTTCGTATTTCTCTGTGACAAAAGGGTACCTCTGGCATACTGTGGGAAACCCTTTCAATGAACGGTGGAGTTTTTCCGTTTGGCACTGTTAGGTTGGAGTTGGAGGAAAACATTTGGGCAAGCATATTGGCTTTTTCCTCTGATGTTGTGGCTAAGTGATTATTTTTATCTGTAAGTGGTGGTATGGATGACTTGGTGAAGTTAGATCCAACAGCTTTTGCAAGAGACCAAAAAGACCTAGAACTACTTGGACAATTCAGCAACCTGTTTTTTATTCTTTGATTGTATGTTTCTTTAGCGGAGTCAATAGTAGTTTTGCAACTATTTCTGGCTTCTATAAATTCTGTGTGGTTTTGAGCGGTTTGTTGTCGTTTCCAAAGGTTATATGCTCTGTGTTTTTTCTGTACAGCCGTTTGACACTGGCTGTTGAACCAAGGTTTTGCATTAGCTCTACGTTTAGTTGTATGTGGGATATATGCGTCCATTCCAGATAAGATTACTTGTGTTATTTCATTACAGCAAATAGTGGGATCAGCTGTTTTAAAGCAAACCTCTTGCCATGGAAAATCCAGGTAATACTGTTTTAGGTCATTCCATTTTGCCGATTTATAGTGCCACATTTTACGAGGAAGTGGTTGTAGGCTTGGTGGGATGAGCATTTCGCACTTTGTTATTATAAGTTTATGATCGGACGAACCAAGTGGAGCATCTACTTGAATTGTGTACGAGTCAGGATTGGTGGTTAGGAACAAGTCTAAAAGCGCTGCAAATTCGCCCCTTTCTGAAATACGGGTAGGTTCATCGACAAGCTGCGTTAGACCACAACTTATGGCAAAAGCTTCTGCTTCTCTGCCTTCGTTATCTGTTTTGTTGTGGTGTTTCAGCCAGGGTATATTGTGGACGTTGAAATCGCCTAAAAAGACAATTTCCGCCTGAGGATAGTTTGACTGTATACTATCACAGCTTTCGGATAATGTCGCGAAAAAGTTTTGGTAATCGGTGTTACTTGGCGGTCGGTAGAGGCAGCAGATAAACTTGGTCGATGACTTTGAGGTGAATTTTAGCCATATGATATCAAGGTTCGCTGGTTCTAGCTTCTCCTCTCGATGACATGAAACGTCATTTTTAATATACACACAGATCCCAAAATTATGTCGATATCGGTGGTGTAGGTCATAGCCGGGATAAAGATAGTTCACAATAGGTGTTGCAGAACTGATTTTAGTTTCAGTGAGAACAAGGATGTCAGGTCTTTGTTCTTCAAGATGTTGGTGAACTGAATTCATATTTGTACTTATTCCTCTTATATTGCTAAAATCAATTCTGAGTTGAGTTTTTGATCTTCTCTTTATATCTTTGCATGAAGGACCCCCAGGATCACCCGACGCCCGGAGATCCGAGTGGTCGGGTATTTTACCTCCGGAATATTTTGATCCTGGAGGCGCCATCATGCTATCTGTTACTCATTGTTGGAACCGGACTGCCAGCGCAGTAGCGGAACGTGGTGATACCACTTAGCGCTACTCAATTCTGGCATGGTGGTATCTCACCGGTCGACGCCCAATGAGTAAAAAGCGTCTACCACCTACAACATGCTGCTATTCAAGACGCTGCAGAAAAAAAACTATAGAAGATAGAGGGGTGCTGTCGCTGAGTTTTTTATAGCAAAAAGCTTCAGCTACAATATTAATTTGAAACTTTTTGCTATTGGACCATCCTTTTGAGCAGCGTTCTCCATAAACTGCAAATTAACCCTAAAAACCACCCCTAACTGAAAACCCTATGGAAGTACAAGGTCGCAAACTTAATATGTTATTAAGCACATGAAAATGAACCGATCCCCCCCAAAAAATGTTAACTTCTAATTATGTTGAGGTAAACTTCCTTTATTGCTTGGACTATCTGGACATTGGATATAGAGCATAAAAATACCTGTATTTCTTATTGTTAATCTCGTCTAATTGAAGTTTTCATTTCTGTCGTGTGACCTTGGGAACACAACATTTTTTTAAAAAATTGTTGAGACAGTATATTTTTTGTTTGTTGTGTTTTATTAGAATAGGATTTTTTTTTAAATGTTTGTAACTGTTTCTTCAATGAAACGTTCTATTTATGTACCAAACTAAAAAAGGATTTTTCTGTTAAATTTTTTAATTTATTCGCAATAAATGTTATGCGAGTATATCATTAATATTATTTAAAATAAATTATGCAAGAAGTCTTGGTTCTTGCAAATTTCTTGCACAAGAAATCTTGTTCTTGCTCATTAGTTTCTTGTATATTTCTTGCTAATCCACTTCTTGTCTTGTTCTTGCATGCAAGAACAAGACAAGAACAAGAAAAAGCAAGACAAGAACAAGAAATACCTGCAACACTAGTGCTAATGCCAATCCTTTCTTAAGCCTTGTTAAAAACGCAAGCCCAAATTGCTTTGTATTTAACTTTATTAAAGGCAATCAGCTGATAAGACTTTTTAGGTTTTTATTAGGTTTAGGTACCTAATTTTTTCTTGAAGTTAGCAACAAACTTCTTAAATCCGAGATTTGAGGTGTTTATTTCAGATTTGAGATAATCCATTTTAAGTCCAATCATACAGATTTGGAGGATTGAATTGAGTATCCGATCCGGATAAACTTCCTAATTATTTCAGGATTATTAATCCCCAATATTAATTTAATCCACTTAGTATCCGGATAGAAAGTGAGGAATAAAAGTAGTCATTGTGATAAATGGAATGGAACAAATGCCTAGCCTTAGCTTTTGCTAGTAATATTTTAAGAGATTTTTTGGCCGGTATTTCTACTCAATACTGCTCATGTAAAATTTCAACAACTTTATATTAGTAAGCATTTTTCAATGATCAAATCAAGTATTTACCTATTATATAATTCAGAGAAAGGTCAGATGAGATAAGATGCACAAATGCGTTCATGTGTTGCTCAATATCGTGCTAATAATATCATAACAGTATGAAGTGTTTTTTCCAAAATCTAAAAATTATAAATTTGGAAATCATCTACTTAGTTAATAGCAAACATGATTAACTTAGGTACTATTGGTTTATCTCTAGTATTTGCTATGATTTTCAATAAAGGTGAGAATATTGAAGTTTAATTTTTTTTTCAGCTTCAAATTTCCATATCAACTTGTCTCATAATTTTTTTAGTAGTAACTGCCAAACTCCAATCTCCTCCTCTCAGAATTGTGAATGGAACGGACGCAGAGGATGGAGAATTCCCATACATGGTAAGTTCGATTGATGCTCTTATAGTTCTTGTCTTGTCGAACTAAAATAGGAGAAAGGTTGTAAGGTTGATACTTTTTATCAAAAATTAAATGTATCAATCTAGTAGGTAAGTATATAATTAATATAAGTTTTCCTAAACTGGAAATTGATTGCTTCTCATGACTACACAATATCTAAACAATCTCCTTATGTTATAATATTAAAGTGGCAATCAAATTATGTGATCAGATCTATGGAAATTTATGACTTCACACTAACCCACACTTATCGCACACATTATGCAACATGCATGTGCTCTTGTCTTTGATTTGTTTCATCACTGTGTTGAGTCGGTAATCTGATCCAATTCTTGCTTCTTGGCACTTGGACCATTGTATGTCTTTAAAAAATCTCATTTTTCTATAACTTTTTGAAAATATCAGGTTTTTATTTATTTTCTATAAAACTTAGTTATTGCTGTCAATGGACGTCATCATTTGTTTATAAACGTTCTAATTCAATAAACAGCGTCAAAAATGGATAAATATTCCAGCTTTGCTTCCCATTAACTATATTAAATTTTTGATGACATCGCTCAAATATATCTATAGTCTGGCTTGCTTTTCAAATTGATTTGATTTTGAACATTATCTTGTTTGATTTGTCTTGATAAATGTTATCCCTAACTATTCCTTAACAATAAAAGATTTTTTAAGTAAATTTAAATACTTATATATTTCCACTATTAATATAATAGTGGAAATATATAAGTATTTAAATTTACAAAAATCTTTTATTAGATAATGGATTTCCACCAAGTAAAAGCCGATCCAATAAAAATATTCCTTAACAGTTAGGTATTAAAATTTTCTTCTTTGAGTCATATGTTTTAATCAATTTTATCAACTTAGTTTGGCGATATTATGATTAAACATTGTTTGCAATTTAAGTATTTATATAGAGTGTGTACAGGGTCGGCGCAACCATTAGTCGAACTAGGCGGTCGCCTAGGGCGGCAAAATTAAAGGGGCGGCAAACTTAAAGGGGCGGCAAAAAGGCTAAAAAAAAAAAAAACTTTTGAATTCTGCTTTGCTTTATTCCATTTCTCTTGCAAACCCAAACACAAACTTTGCCCTACTTAGGCCGGTGACACACTGGAGAAATAAGTTTCACAAAACTTCTTGGAAGAAACAGGAAATTTGTTTCATTTTTACACGACACATACATTCGAATGAGGCGGATCACACTGGCGTTCCTGGAACAGGAGAGCAGAAATTGTTTCGCCAGTGTGCGCCTCCTTATGAGCACATACTGCTATAACTGTTTCTGCTAGTGGCTAGGGGTCGTGCGACCGGGTGGCGGGTTGCCAAAAACTACTTATCTTATATTACCTATGAATATTTTTGGCACAAAATTAACGTTTTGGGCGGGCGTGGCACCAGTGACCAGAACAGGATTTTTTCACCTCCGCCGGCGCCTGCGGCGGGAATGTGTGTATGTATTTTTTTATGTTGATATTCCAATCTATATTCTGTAAGTGAGGTTTTATTATTTTACAATCATTAATAAAACTATAAGACATGTTTTTAAAAATAGCCATGCATATTTGTATTTTTACTTGATGGGGGCGGCCGACACTACATTTGCCTAGTGCGCCAAAGTCGCTTGCGCCGACCCTGAGTGTGTACTTATGGTATTAAGTTTTAAAGGTCAAAACTAATAATCACCTGATTCAAGTTTTTTTTATAATAATAACCTCATAATAACTAATTGATTTCTGAAATCCTCTTGAGAATAAACAATATTTAATTTAAAATTATTTGGTTGTTTAAATGGTTATACCTACCTACGTCAAGAGTCAAGAGATAGTTAAGATAAGCTGTAATATATCGGGACTTGGGGGGGCAAGTTCAATAAATCAAGGCTAGTTTCGTTTCGTCTCAAAAATCATTCTATTCTATTAAATCCCCAAAATTAGTACAAGTTTACAATAATAAATATATTAGTATAACAATATTTATCCTATCATCATAACATGTCTGACCAGGGCCGATCCTAGCAGGTGTGCAGCGCGTGCCCCGCACGCGGGCGGCCAAATCTAGGGGCGGCTGTCATTCAAGATTCAAGTGAAACTTTTTACGAATTTCTCAAAATAAAACTACTTCTTATAAAGAAATAAGCTGAACTTTAAAAAACTCCTGAAAAATGGAAATAAACCCCGATCTCCTGATAGCATAAATAGAAAGTTTAATGCACAGTCAGTGTGTAGGATAACGCATGATAATGTTTTAACTTTTTACACATCCATCATAAGATCGCATTTTTTTTATATTTACTAAATACTTCTGCTTTGTTTTTTCAAAATTTTTATTTTTGTTCCCAATTCACCTAATTCTGCAAGAATAATTACTAACTGTCCAACAGAACTAGATGAATATATAATATAGTTGGTAATATTGTTAGCGGGAACAATATTACCAACTTTTCTGGTATAGTATTTCTAAATTCAATTGGAACAAGGTACCAATTGGTGGCTGACTAGTCACTGAGAATTTCTATGAAAAATGCACTGCCACTACTCAGCCACCAGTTATAATTTATGTTCACCTTGTTCCAATTAGCTTTGGAAAAACTATACCAAAGACATCCAAGTGCATGTGGGTATGTTATACGGTGGGTAAGTTCTACGACCAGTGTTGCCAGAGAGCAAAAATTTTTTGTACCAAAATTAAAGAAAAATTGTACCAGAGCGGGTTACCCGGGCCACTCGGCCAGGGAGGACACGCTGATTCCTTCAGTGTAGCGCACGTGCGGCCCAAAACATCTAAGGGCATCACAGACCTGTAATATTCATAATAGGTATTAAAATCAGTTTACAATGAACGGACTCCTATAACTCCGGCCCTTGGGGCTCGTATAACCTCGGCCCTTCGGGCTCGTAACGTAATTTAAAACAACACCGGCCATTCAGGCTGGAGATTTGGAAAAAGCATATGGCAATACTGCTTATGATACAACAAACGTTAAAAAATTGACGTTTCAAAGTAGGCCTTGTTTTCTTTAAAACTTGATACAAGTGGTGTTTCTTTGTTGCCCTGTTGTCTCAAGATTGAAAACACTCTCGCCCTTCGGGCTCATGATTTAAAAAAAACCGCCATTACAATCCTCTAGCGTTACAGTGTCGCCAAAAGTTAAAAATTTCAATCAGCCTACAACATCATAACAATCGTTTCTTGATGTCAATTGCCACTTGTCAACTTTTTATATTTACAATTACAAATGCCCCAAACCAAAATTACCGTTAAAATGTGGCAACGTTGCTGTTGTAGGCCTCAATCTGAATTACAAGGCTGTCAGCTGACAAAAAAAGTCATAACAATCGTAGGTGGTCCCGAAAATGAAGTCGTCAATTGTCAAAAGTCATAATATTGTATGTAGGCTTGTCAGGTGTCAAAAAAAAATTGAGTAATTATTCCAAGTGTTTGAACCGGGAACAATCAAAATTTTACTCTGATGATAGTTTGGCTCGACCAACTGATTATTTAAATTGTCTCCTACTTTTTCCCGCTTTTTGTCTTACTCGTTTATAATCGCTTTTGGTTTTTTACTAAAGTATCCTACCTTACTTTCTTTGTTTTACTCACTTAAATCTGGAAAAACATTATGTTTGAGATTGTAATTATGGCAACATCGCTTTTGTTCAAGTAGGTCTTGTAATGTAATTTCATTTGGCATTTTAGACAGTCGGCCATTTTCGAGTGTTTTTATCCAGTTTCTCCTTGAATTTTCCACTTTTCCAAGCCGGTTTTGATCGGGAAAACTGTCAATTATATGAGATCCCGAAGGGCCGGAGTTATATGCGAGCTCGAAGGGCTGGAGTTTTACGAGAGCCCGGAAGAACGGAGTTATATGCGAGCTCGAAGGGCCGGAGTTATACAAGAGCCCGAAGTGCCGGAGTTATTTTAATCACGGGGGCTAGTTTATAATTCTATTCGTCAGCGGATAATTTGGAGCTAATCAAAAACTGGGAATATTGAAAATGCGATTTTCAGCGCCCAATCAAAGAGCCGGGAATATTCAAAAACTTTAGTGTTATTGTTGACTTTGGAATGTTGGTTTTCTATTGGGTTTTCTTAAGATTTTTACTTTTTTCAGAAAACGGTGGATTTTACAAACATATACTACTTTATCGTTGTCTTTGTCTACTATAATCAACAAACCTTGTAATGTCATTTTCATTAAAATTAAACTAAAAACAAATTTCCAATGCTTTATCTAGAGAATTTTAGTTATTATAATCATTATTGATTAATTATTAAATTGAATTTTAAACAAAAAACCCTTTTAAAATGTTATTTTTGTTTTCCGAGATGTAATGTGGCAATGTTGCTTTTAGTCGGCCATTTTGAAGTGACGTCTCGTGATTTTTTGCCAGCTTTTCCTCGAATTTTCGACTTTTCCGGGGATTCTTAATGGAAAAAAGCGATTTAATATACGAGGCTTTGAGTTTTCTTCATTTTATAGCAGAAATTTCCACTTTGAATTGCCATAATTAGCAAAATCCCATTTAAAATGCTTTTGATGTGGCAACACCGCTTGGGGCTAACTTCAATCAAGGAGTCCTTGTAATAAATATCCTCGTAAATATCATTTGTCATTTTTGACAGTCGGCCATTTTCATTTGACATGTTTACCTTTTTATCCAGTTTTTCCTCGAATTTTCCACTTTTCCGGGCTGTTTTCGTTCAGGAAAATCGATTTAAAGTACGAGGCTTTGAGTTTCCTTCATTTTGTATCAAAAATTCCGAGTTTTTTAACGGGGTAAGTAACAAAAACATAAGCTTCATCAAATAGGCTTTGGAATGTCATTTTTCAATGGTTTTTCTTTGGATTTTCCGCTTTTCCGATCAGGAAAACCTATTTAAAGTACGAGGCTTCTAGTTTTTTTTTATTACGTGTTACATTGGTGACGTCATCTATTTACGAGTCAAAAATTATTGTTATATCGAATTTGAATACA